TGTTAAAAAATTAGTTCAATGATAATGTCTGGCTAGTTGAGCAAATAAGGATATTTATATTTCGCTCTGCTATTTTTCAGCATGTAGTGAAGGAGAGGAAACTACCGTAATACATCTTAGAGGGCCTACTGTTCCCAAACAGATCAGTAGTGCTGAGGTCTAGAATACGGCTTGAAAGGGGAAGGAATAATTTGACCATCTACTGGTCAAATTCTTGACGCTTATTCAGCCTCAAACCTAAACTGGAAATGAACTGTACGGTGGTTGATCGTCACAGTTGCGAACCGGCCAGTTAAAGCAAACTACAAAAAGGAACCTCGTGACACAAAGCATGTGATCTTCTCCTGTTGAAAGTACCAGATCAGGATCATATGGTGAAAATTTACAACAGCGTGGTCGCTTTTCATGTATTCCAATCACCGCCACTTCATGCCCATCATGTGTTAACTGCAAGCAACCACACAGATCGGCTCAGTGCTGCTGCAGTAAGCTTACAACAAACGAAGACGGTTCCCAACTGCGTCGCACCATCTTTCCAGTGACATCCTCCGGTCAAATACGTGCTCTTTTCCAAGTTTTTCCATAGTCGCTTTATACGCGGAGTATTTCAGAGCAACTCTTCTGCTTTTCAGAACAAATAAACATCCTCCAATCAGCTTCTAGCCTACTTAGTGGCAGTTCGCCGGGGAACCCAATGGCGAGATTTTGGCGCCAGAGCCTGCTTGGTTGCAGAGCTGAAATACCCAGGCAGATGCACACACATACACGCACACCGGGTCGTCACAATATGCGTTTTTGCATCAGAAATTTGACTTTTCGGCTTTCGCGTGCAATTTTTGCTAATTTCTGCTGCGCCTTTTCAGCAAAAAGGGGGAAAAAATTTAACATCTCTCCGACAATGATTTGTGTTCTCTCAGTTAAGCCATGCTCCCCTCTTCCGATGGGTTCGTGCTTTTATGATCAAATTAAGCGAAAATTTCGAATAAATTTTGCGTCCCATTAGTTTTTTTTTCATTTCCGCAAAATTTAGCACAAATGGTCTGAACGTCACAATCGCATGACCCAAACTTTGTCTTCCTGTATTTTTCGCACTTTTCATCCCACACTGACGATCCTACCACCCCGTTAACACACTGCGGTAAGGAGCTCGGCAATGCTATCTCGTTATGATTTCATGCTTTTTACATTTGATTGTTAGCTTATCAAAAACGGAAATGATAAAACTCACCATCATAAGAAGGCAAGATCAAAACAAAAGCAGCTGGGCAGTAATCCGTGGCGCATTCGTCAGAATACAAAGCTCAATCTCCGGTGAACTATTCTCTAGCAAGAACTATCGGGGTTCGAAACAAAAATAACAAGCTTACGCAAAAGTGCAACCATTCATTTCATTTTCTGCAACGAAAATTCTCACCATCTTCAAGCCATACGGCATCAAATGTTCGGCTGGAAGCTTACAAGTGATCACAAAGAATTTGCTATTCCCATCAATAGATCGTGAGCTTTGTGGCATGTACAGAGGCACAGTGCAATCCATTACCAGTGATAAATAGTGGCCCACATCGGGTGTCTGTACTGCACGCGTAACCAACCTGCAGTGACAAACGCATGGAACGTTTTCTTTTTGGTGAACGCACAAACCTGTGAGCTAATATTTTAGCCACGCTGCTTCTACGGCAGCAGAGTGAAATGAAGCAAATTTCAATACACAAATGCATTTCAAAATCTGAAATTCACAGCAAAAGCACATAAAGAGAGTAAAGATACCAGCCTTCAAAACACACAAAATTGCATTTTTTTTAAGGAATTTTAAAACTTATGGACCCACCAGGGCACTGACTGGGATAAGGGGGGACCCTTTGGAAGTCGCAAATTAGCGAGCCGCACATATTGAATAAATGAGGAGTTTGAATATGCCATGATAAATGAATCACAAAATTTTGAAAAAAGCTTACATGGAAGCACTTTTGGATGCCTCCGCTTTCGAAAGTTCCATTTTCAGATATTCATTTTCGACGCGTAAATATTCATTTTCTATTTTATATTCATTATTTGCTTCTTTCAAATGTTCTAACTCCGTTGTATCGAGCGCCTGTAAGGGGATCCATTTGTCATGCAACTTGTGGTGCAAACTTTAACATGGAGCAATGTAGCGGTTTTTCTCTCACCTTTACGATGCTTGTATATAAACGTCGAATATCGGTCAATCGCGCCCGCTCCTTACACTGAGGGCACGAAGCATTTTTTGTGTTTCGCCGTATCCATCTTTCAATACAGGACTGCCCAAACAAATGTCCGCATTTCAAGCACACGACACTGAAAACATAAGCTAATTATTTGCAAAATCTCAATCGATCATCGCTGAAATGTCAGAAATACCATTCCCAAATGCACACTTCACTTACATATCTGTTGAAGGTTAAAAAAGAAAATATCAGGAGAAAAAGGAAACAAGGAAAAAGAGGAAAAGG